GTAAGTTCTGTAATCATCGCTTTCCCAACAGTGGGAAAAGATGATTGACGCGATTGTAGATGTCAAGCTGAGGGATGAAGTTAATCTATTGGGAGTGTGTGAGGATCTGACACAGTGGACCAAGTAGAACTGATGATGAGTCAAATTAGCATTTACTTCCTATAAACTCAATGTTTACGACACATTTAACTAGTGGGAAAAGGTCCACTTTGGAGAGGAGCATCATGATGTTTATGTTTATGTATTTAGCAGACGCTTTTGTCCAAAGCGACTGATGATGCTCTGGGCAACTTTCCAGATGCAATTGAGGCACATACTGGTCCGTCTACAGCAGTGGTTCCCATACATTTTTCCTTGAGGACTTCCTAGCCTGTGCCCAGGAAAAGCCCAGGAGCCCCACCCCAACTCCTACCCCCATACCCACGTTAAGGGGATACTAGGCCGTTAAGCTTGCTTTTAGCACCCCCTGATGTTCGTTTACTAGAGCCAAAAGTGAAACTTATCTCCTCGCTGTGTGTTCATTTTTGTAGCACCTTAATCTAACAGCTGAAATGTCTCCTCAGCCTTCATTAGTTTCTACAGGTGCGGTTCGTCACTAAATCAAACAAATCATCCGTGTCCATGATCTAGAACATGCAGGAGACGTGCTGGAAGCAGACTCCAGAGCTGGCATGGTGGCCAACAGGTGGCGGCCCTCCACTCTGACGTTGCAAGTGCGGTGTTCTGGCCACGGGGGGCGGTGGGGGTCTGAGCGACATTTCATTAATCTCCGAATGTAATTTTTTACAAATTAAAGCTTGGCGACCTCACAACCTCAGCACAGAATCAATTGTGGGCACCCCCTGGGCAGGTTACGAACCCTAGATTGGGAACCACTGATCCAACTCTCATGGTCATGAAATTCAGATCAAAACCCAAGTGAAACAATCTTTGATGCAGGCGTCTGTTATGAACTTTCTCTGTGGGGAGATTAGATGAGAAGCTCTATCTGGATGGTGCTTGGAGGAGAGCCGGTGCTCCGATACATGGAGAGGAGTCATTAGAGGTGGTTTGGGAATCTGATCATGCTTCCTGGTGGCCTCCCTCTGGGGTTTACCAACAGGGAGGTGACTTTGGGGACTTTTATATGCATCCTCTCTGACCTAGAAAGGAATTGGAATCCCTCAGTAGAACTGGAGTTGCCATGGAGAGCAACGTTCTGACTCCCCACCTGGAGCTGTTGCATCCTTAACCCAGCCATGTTATGGATGGAGTGTGTTATTGTTCAGTTATCAAATTCTTTATCATACTTTTATTTTCTTATTTTTTTTATTTATTGAGAACCTCATTAGCTCCCACCGTAGTGTGGAGCTATTCTTCCTGAGGGCTCTTTCAATTTCATTGCAAATACTTGACAACCCCCCCCCCCCCCCCCCCCCCCCCCCCACACACACACACACACACACACACACACCCAACAACAACAAACTCCAGGAGCTCATTATAATCATTCCAGCTCAATTGCAATAATGATATACCAGGAAGTTACCACACACTTCAGCGTTCATGAAAAATCTAAATAGGTGAAAACGGAGAGTTTACACAGAGCAATAAATATATCCAAGAGTCAAAATCATATCACATCACATCCATAACTAACAAAAATGATAGAAGCTGTCATATCAGTCACATTTACAATTCACTGTGCAAAATTTACTGTTGTGTAAACAAGAAAGCTTTAACTTCTTATGAAAACATCTTCTGTTGTTCTCTAATAACACACATCTCGGTATGGCATTCCATGCAGCCATGGCTCTGTAATAAACCGCTCTTTGCCTTTGATTAGTTCTGCAGCGCGGTAGTGCGCACCTTATGTCACTTGTCTGTCTCGTCATGTAATCATGATTGTCCGAAAAAAATGATAACTTGTCATAAATTATTTTAGGTATTTTCGTAGTTATTATAAATGTTTTCAGTGAATACTTTAATCTACATTTCACTGTTAACCAGGCCAACCTATCATGCATCTTACTTACATTTGTTCTATAATTACAGCCCAGAACCATTCGTGCAGCTTTATTTTGAGCCACTTGTAACTTATTTAAATTCATTTCACTTGTATTAGACCAAATAACTGATGCATAATCTAAATGAGACAGTACTAATGTTTGAACTAAAGTTTTTATCTGCAAACGAGGAATACATTTACAACAATATTTGATCGTGCCCATACTTCTTCTAAGTTTCAGCAGGACATGATTTATGTGACTAGTCCATGACAATCTAGAATCCACAATCACCCCCAACAATCTTGCTTCTTCTACCTGCTCTATCTCTATGTTACCTAGCTTCAAATGCAGTCTAGGTGTCATCTGTAGTGTCTATGTATTCCCCACTATCATGCATTTAGTTTTTTCTGCATTGATTTCTAGTTTGTTCATTCTAATCCATTGTGTAACTACATCCAACTCCTTTTTCAAAATATCATTTAATTGGCCTTCTGTTTTCTCTGATGCAAATAATGTAGTGTCATCTGCTTATATAGCCATGGTTGCATGTTCTAAAATCAAAGGTAAGTCATTAATAAAAATAGAAAACAAAAGAGGGCCCAAACAACTGCCCTGTGGCACTCCACAATCTAACTGACCTGTTTCAGAATAACTGCCATTAAAATAGAAGTTGAATTTACGATTCGTTAAATAACTTTCTGTCCACTTAATGGCGGACGACTGAAATCTACAACGTTCTAATTTTTTTAATAAGATTTTATGATCAATCACATCAAAAGCTGCACTCAAATCTAAAAATATAGTACCAACTAACTTTTTATCATCTATTTCTTCTAACCATTGATCAGTAATCTGAGCAAGTGCAGTAGTAGCGGAGTGACCCGCTTTATATGCATGTTGATAAATTGTGTTTAATCTATTTGTTGTACGAGACGGGTCACTTCTCTTTACCATGGTTGTCTGAACTTTACTCATTCAAAAAGTAGTTATTTTAATATCTTTTGTATAAAAATGCAAACTTTTTAATTATCCAACTAAAATGTCCATTTTAGGATGAACAATAGGAGTTACCCAACTAGCTTGGGTTTGACCAACCTTTTTTCATGAGCACTCCCCTTTCAGGTCCAAGATGAGCCAGGGCCCCCGACCCCAACTCCTGCCCACATTCACACAAATAAAAGTGATTATTAACAAACTTAAACAGACATAAAAAACTATAATGCTTTCACAGAGTTTTGATTAAGTTATTACAATTTTATAAAGGTAAATTTTACAAATACCATCTAACCTCACAACCTCAGCACAGATAAAAATGTAGGGGCCCATCCAAACTTGTGTCCCAGGCTTGAAACCATGGGGTTAGAAACCTTTCATATCCTTGAAAGAAAATGCAAACTAGCCATCATATGCATGCAGAGATCGATATTTTAATCAGTGTCTCCTATTCATTATGCTTCATTTTCACAAAGAGTGAGAATAGTGTCTTTTATCACTCTTTGACACGTTGTGTGCGTGAAGTGGAAACACCTCAGAGCTCTGTAGGCTCGGTTTCTTGCACCAGCTGATTTCTTATGAGCCTCAGCGAATGTTGGCTGTATTATCAATGAGTACCTAATGATGTGATTGCTCTTCTGTTGCTCCATTGTTCTCGATTCAAAGCGAGCCGCACTGAGGACCGCGGGGACAATACCGGCTTTATCCTTTCAGCTCAATCAGAGCAGACTGTTGTTCAAACGCTTTCGATCCGTGACTTAAATCCGAGTTCTTTACCATTTGTTGTTCCAGACTCGTGAGGAACGGAATGCAGCCGCCTTTAGCTCAGTGTGTGTGTGTGTGTGTGTGTGTGTGTGTGTGTGTGTGTGTGTGTGTTATACAATTTGTAATCCCTGAGTCAGTTGACTTGTCGCCCTGGTCATTAGCGAGACTCGTTGTATAAATGCTATGATATAAACAGTTTGATATGGGAATATATTCCTATGTGAGCGTGTCATACAACAAAAACTATAACCTGACCTGCCAGTTTATTACGTTAGTCTTCCTTAAAATGCAAAATGTCAGCTTTGCTTTGCAAGCTGTCAACAACGATCTGTTACAGTCGACGGTGTCAGTGTGAGTGTAGACAAACTAAAACCAAAGGTGTGAAGAATGAGTCAGACCTGCAAAAAGACCAGATGTGTAAATGTTTCAGATCAAAAGGAAATCCTGTTTTAATGATGAACCAAAGCATGGGGAATCCTGGAAAGTTGGGGTTGGGGGAACTAATTAGGGGACTGATTTCTAGAAAGTCCCATCAGGTGCTGTTAAAATAGAAGCTGCAGGAACACCTGCAGAGATGTAGACACTTTCATTAAAATATGGCCAAACGTGCAGCTCATTAGTCAGCAAGAGCAAATAGTCAGAATTGAGATTGTTTTTGAACCAATCGTCGCCGAGCAATGGTGGCAGCAACAGGTGAGCTTTACATAAATCCTCTGACTCCTCGCTGTGGGAAAGCAAACTGGGACAAACGGTCCTTTGCGTTGCCGTCAGATCTTTTAACCTTTAATGAACCTCTCTGCTCTCTGTTGTAAGAATGAATCTGCAGCAGCCTCAGTAACTTTGTTTGGTCAACCTGCAGCTTCCAGACTCGTCTTTGCTTTGCTAGTTTGCTGGAGGCAGTTGCAGGGTTCTGTAAGTACGACTAGAACCTAATATACACTAATTCCTCCAGCAGAGCTGCAGGTGAAGCGTCTGACTCGCTGTCATGGCAGCCAGGTCTCTTAAAAAAGCTCATATTGTGGAAATAGCTCATTAGATGGAGAATCAGGTCCTCCTCCTGCTCCGGATAAGGGACGAATTGTTCTGCCGGACTCAGAGTTTTTGTACAAAATCGTAGAAACTGGATTAGGTGTAGACACAGCCACACTCCAGGGTCTTCACTTGAAGAGCATTCTCGCTGTCAGAGGGCTGAGATGTCAGACTGCGTTCATTTCCTTTCATCTCAGATTGTTCTAGCTACTAGATTTGATTACG